TGTATCAGAACATTTTAAGCTCAATGTTGCACATAGGTTTCCTGGAAGGCCATGTCAATATATTGTGAAACATCTGGATCTTTGGGTATCAGGATGTTAGACTATAATGAGCAATTTTCATCCCAAATCTTTAGAGTCATGTAGATAAACCGATTGGTTTCGATTCAGGGAACTTAACTGCCAACTTCAATTAGCTCAGCTTCTTTAATATATTCTTTTTCTTATATAGTAGGCAACTTCAATAAATTATTATTTATAGAGTACTTATTAAAATGCTACAGGGAAATCATTCCTGGAAACATCTCACTGTGTAACTGTAAATGATCAAGCCCTCGCTCACTGATTGAGTGTTGGAGGACTTAAGTCAGATCACAGGATCACAGCAACTCATGCCTAAAGGAGACCTCCGACAGCATGCAGGCCACCCACCCTATTCCATCTCCAACCCCCTTCAACAACATCCCTACCACGTAGGTATCCAGGAAATACCTGATGTGTCAGCGATGAAGGGACTCATTCCTGCCCAGAGTAACTTTTTCTTTGCTGAATGGCTTTGCCAAATAAAAACTGGTTCCTGATTTTAAATGGAAATTAGTGTTTCCCAAACATTTATGCACTGAGCCTCATTCTTTAATATAGACTGCATTTTTCAATAAAATTAATCTCTTTCAGCCCTTTTTTGTTCTCATCTCACACATGGTGGCAAAGATCTACATCATCGGAGCTGGTGAGAAGCAAGCGTGGCCCATAAAGTGACAGACAGTAGGGCAAAGTGGTTGATCCCATGGACTAGAACCAAAGTACTTGAGTTTGAATCCTAGTACTGCCTGTAATAAGGCAAGGCATTTAACCTCTCAGAATCTCAGTCTTCTCATCTGCGCAATGGGGAATGTTACTGATATCTATTTGGGGGTATTTTTGAAATATTATGGGAGGCAGTGTATGTACAGTCTTTAGAACCATGTCGCCCGGCATACAGTAAATACTACATAGCTATTATCATGTAGAATCCCAGCAAATAGAATCTGGACATTGTCCTGCTATTGTAAGATTAGTGGTTAGTGGGCAATGGCTTAGTCCTATGCACTGTGTAGCTCTAAAATTCAGCCTCCACAAAATACCCCACCAAGCGTTCCTATTTTTTTTTCTTTGTTTTAATGTCTAACTTAGTCTCTGGAGGGTATAAACTCTGGTAATTAAGAGTCAGAGCCTAGGAAATCGTACTCAACTCAGATATACATTAAATTCATTGAACTGGTTTTTTAAAATAGCAATGAAATAGGATTTCTTGAGGGTTCAGAAATGGATATTTTCCAAAAGTTCCTCAGGGAGTTCTAATGTGCGGCCAGGTAAGAACAACAGACTTCAAATGAGTCTTTATGGATCAGAATCTGGGCTCCCTCGACTGCCAGCGGCACAACTTAGGGCAGGCTTCTTAATCTCTTCAGGCCTCGGTTTCCATAACTATAAAATAGGAGTAAAAAGGGGAAGTTCCTTTCTCATTAAACTGCTATGATACTTAAATGAAATAGCACGTGTGGATAACAGAGTATTCATTAGGTATTAATACTGAGTACCTGACTTTACTATGCAGCTTCCATCCTCACCCCATCTTTCTATCACTTCTGCCTCAGCCTGTCAGTAGGTACTAAAGGGTGATTAGCACTGCCTCAATTATAGGTGTAACCCACAGTCCTGGACACTAGAATCTATCAAGAGATGGTTACCTAACCTGAGTATATTTCAGGCTGATGGTGACCCACTTTGCTTTTCTGATCATTGAAAATGATTTGCATTTACAGAGCATGGGAGCAGACTTGGGTCCCCTGTGGCAGAGCACGTAGGAGGGATGAAAGCAAACTTGCCGACCTGGCCATGGTTTATGTCAGCCCTGGAATCATTGTCCTGGATGAATCACTTAAAAAAGTGTCCAAGATGAGCAGAAGGGTACTACATACCTGCCACTCAAACCAGCAGCATTGACATCACCTGTTAACTTACTAGAATGACAGAATCACTAGACTTACCTCAGGCCCACCAAATCGGAAAGGGAATATTAGCAATATCCCAGGTGATCTTTTTGCACATTCACTTTGGGGAGTGTTGTTCCTTATCAGTGTCCAGAGGAATTCATTCCCAAAGTTTGTAAAACTTTCCAGAAACAACCTTCAGCCTGCCACCTATGCAGCTGGGTTGACGCTTACATAATACTTTTAAGCAACCCTTTGAATCAAAGCCCTCTAAATTATCTGCTTTTCTCCCTTTCTCATGCACCCTATACCACTGTCTCAGCAAGTATAGAAATGCCTTCTTTGACTTATTTTCTGACTTGGGGTTTCTATCTAGTTTCTGGCCCTTGCTGGAACTCAGCACCTGATATTTGGTTTAAAGGAGGCCTTACGTCTGTTTCCTACTTCAGTCACAGAGAGAGAGAGAGAGAGAGAGAGAGAGAGAGAGAGAGAGAGAGAGAGTAAGCTGTTGACTAATACAGCTTCTCTCACTATTTCCTACCTCTGACTTTCCATTCCAGGGGTCTATGATCTTTAGGTGGTGTGGAGTCTGAATTCAGTTTGAAACAGAGAGAAGTTGGGCCCTAGGTAGCATGTGCTAAAGGACTTTGCTAAACCAAAGGACCCCAAAGCAAAGTCAGAGACTAGTTTCTTCCAATTACCATTTGGCTTTACATTGTCATTACATACATATTGAAATCCTTGATTTCACAGGGGTTTACATAGCTAAAGTACAGATGGAGGGAGTCAGTGAATTAAAACCTTTGATGAAGGCCCGCTGTGACTCATGCCTGTAATCCCAGCACTTTGGGAGGCCAAGGCAGGCGGATCACTAGAACTTAGGAATTTGAGACCAGCCTTGGCAACATGGCAAAATCCATCTCTCCCCAAAATACAAATATATTAGCCAGGAGAGGTGGCATATGCCTATAGTCACAGCTACTAGGGAGGTTGAGGTGGAGGATAGCTTGAGCCTGGGAGGCAGAGGTTGCAGTGAGCCGAGATCACACCACTGCACTGCAGCCAAGGTGACAGAGTGATACCCCGTCTCAAAAACCAAAACAAAACAAAAACAAACAAAAAATAAGAAAACCTTTGGTGAGTCCTGGGGTACAAAAACAGCTGTTATCCTTACACACACACACACACATACACACACACACACACACATACACACACACACATTGAGCATCTATTATTACACTGGAAAATGTGGATCCAAAGATCAACAACTATGAGTTCTGTTCCCACCTCTCACCTCTAGCCCTATGAAGCTTATACCTTAATGGGGAAATATATATGAATCAAATAACAACCAAAATATACGTTACATATTAACAGTGATAAACTCTACTAAAAGAGAGGTACACTCATGCATGCTGGGTTTAATAACTAGGTGGTGGGTTGATAGGTGCGGCAAATCACCATGTCACACATTTCCTTATGTAACAAAGCTGCACACCTTTCACATGTACCCCAGAACTTAAAATAAAATTTAATAAGGAAAAGAAAAAGAAAAAAAAAAGTGAGAGAGAGGTACAAGTACTGTGAGGACATACAAAAAGGGAAATGGTTCTACTCAGAAAGGTTTTTCTGAAGAAGCAACAAAACTGAGGGGTACATAGGGTTAGCCAGATTCGAGGGTGTGACAGGGAATAGAAGCCCAGCTGGTGCTGAGGTCCTGTGACCAGGGGAATCCATGCCCTTTTGAGGAACTGAAACAAATCTGGTGTGAGAGGAGTCCAGAGAAGAAAGAGAGGGAGGAGGGGCTTGACTCCAGCTGAAGCTGGAGTGATTGCGGGAGTATGTTGGTCTTCATTTTGAGAACGCTGGGAAGTGATGAAGGGTTTGAAGCGGAGGCAGCAGGGCCAGACTTGTGTTCCTGCAAGAGTGGTCTTTCTGCCATGTGGAAACAGATTGGAGGAGGGCAAGAGAGGATGTGAGGAACAGGCCAGTTAGGACTGCACTGCAGTCTTCAATGGTAGAGACGGGCTGCTTACACTGTGGAGGTGATGAGGCAATGGGGAGAAATGGGGAGTTCCAACAGGGAGTTAAGTGGTTAAATCAGAAGAACTCAGATTAGTGTGGTGGGCAGGAGCAGGGGAGAGGGAGGTGTTAAGGATGACAAATCGTTTATAAAACAACTGGATGTTGTTCTCTGAAACACGGATCTCTGAACAAACACCAGACAGGGAGGTCGGGGTTGCCATGAGTTAGTTTTTAGATATTTTGAGTTGGAGGCCTTCCCTGACCTCCCAGACAAAGATACATAGTTATGAAATTTGAACGAGCATTCTAACTTGGAGGGACATATTTTATAATGGTAATTTTAAAAGTAGAAATGACAAAAGTTACTATTTGTTGAATATTTACTCTGTTCCAAGGTTAGGCATCTATTATTTAATTTAAACGCTCCAGGACTCTGTATGAAAAGACTGATCCTCCCATGTTACAGATGAGGAAGAGGAGGCCCAGAGGGAGCAGCATCTTCAAGCTCTTAATGACTGTGTCACACTGCCCCCTGCTGAGCAGCGATTACGTGCCAGGCTCTCAGGGAGTTTGCATTCCAGTAACGTGGGCTCATGGGCTTTTGTGTCTTCTATAGCAAACTGAAAGAGAACTCATGCGGTAGGAATTTCTGCCATGTGCCAATTAAACTGCCATTTGTCTGCAACAAACATCCCACTGGTATTCACATGCACAAGTACATAGGCACCCCTGTGCACAACTTTCTCACTAGTTCCCTCTCTTCACTTTTTCTCGGCGAGGATTATTATTTATTTTCTTCTGATACCTGGTTTTAGGTTGCCCAGTGGCAGGTAGGCTAAACAAAATGAACTTCGCTGTGCATCCAACAAGAAACACATTCTATCAGCCTTTAATTTCAGAGTCTTAGCCACACAGGGGAGGGATGGGAGACCAGCAGTACTCTTCTTCTGTAAGGTCAACTAAAACTCTTGTTTGCTGTGAGCAGCTTCCTCCACTTACCTGTCTGAGTATTGTTCTGAGGATGGTAAGAATGCCACTTCTAAAACTAGCTGAGAAGCAGAGAGAGGCTTACTGCAGCATCTAAAGAAAGAAGAGCATTTATACAGCATGATCCCTTCAAGCATGTTCTGCTTTTGTCCAAACATTTAACATGACCGTGGAAGAATTTCACTACACCCATTACACAGAAAAGTTTGAGATTTGAAACTAGAAAATTTTTCGTAGTTTTCATGGAACAAAACATACAGATCAGTACTGAAAATATAAATCACTCTTAAACATTTGGTTCTTATTATTTTTGTAAAAAGTAGCACACTTGGAAGATTAACAAATTTTGCCTCTGTGTTGACATGTATGTATGTGTGTGTGTACAGAAAAAATAAATTTTCAGTAATTCATTTTGGATTTCATTAAAATTCAGTGTTGTCCGTAGACAAGTGTGTTTTTGCTGTTTGAAATAATGTAAATCTCCTAATGTAAAGACCCTGGCTAGGTGCTGTGGTTTATGCATGTAATCCCAGCAATTTGGGAGGCTGAGGTGAGAGGATTGCTTGAATCCAGGATTTCAAGAGCAGCCTGGACAACATAGCGAGACATTGTCGAAAGAAAGAAAGAAAGAAAGGAAGAAAGAAAGAAAGAAAGAAGGAAAGAAAGAAAGAAAGAAAGAAAAAATATCCAGGGATAGTGGCATGTGTCTGCAGTTCTAGCTACTTGGGAGGCTGAGGCAAGAGGATTGCTTGAGCCCAGGAGTTCGAGGTTGCAGTGAGCTATGCCTATACCACTGAACTCAAGCCTGGGTAATAGAGCAAGACCCTGTCTCTAAAAATGAAAATAAAATTATCGTCTATAGTATCAGTGACAGTGATGACAGGAGCAATTTTTATCACGAAGTGAAAAGTCTCAAACAATTGAGACTATTGCTGGAATTTTCTCCTAGAAATACTATACAACTTGTCTTCCTAAGTTCAATCATAGGAAAATACGTACGCGTATTTTAATTTTCCTAAAACTTATATCCAAAAACATAAAATAAAGAATATTTAGATTACCCATTGTTAGACAATTCAAAACAATGCCATCTTTAAGCAGAAAATCAGTGCTAACTTCAAGGATTATCTGAGGTCATTGGCCTTTCTCAAACAGATGAGAGAATACAGAAACCTATGTTCAAAGGGGAACATATCATTTTAAGAAAAATTTTTGGCAATGTTATTATGACTTATTTTTACTTAAAAAGTAATATATGTTTATTATAAATCATTCAGCTATTAAAAGGGAATAGAAAATGGCCCCATTTGAAGGAGGGCGGAAAGAGAACTGTCAGCTGCTTTTCCCACAGTTTCCCTAACGACATCTCAAAGCAGAGTTCAGTATAGCTCATTTAAAAAAATTGCATAATTCTCCACACATTGGTGGAAATACAATGCAGGTAGTGCTACCATACCCTGATCAAAAGCAACTCTAAGAGTTTCCATATTTCTATCTGAGGCCAGTTCCTCCACCCACCTGTGCTATAGATGCCATTCAACTTTGCTTCATCCATATCTTTGCACTCATTCTACAGTGGATCCTCCCAGAATATCATCTACTCAAAGCTCTCTTTTCTTAAAAAAAAATCTTTGATTTTACTTTCCTCTATTTTTCTGGGTTTTCTTAACAGCAGCATTTCTCAAAAAGGTGTCTGCATCACTATGTCCATTTCCAAGAACTTTACTCCAATTTGGTTTTCATCACCATCACTCCAGGAAATAGTCTCTGGTTAATTCCATGAAAAGCTATCGGGTCATTAAATAAAATGAACACTTTTAAATCTTTGTATTCATTCATTCAACAACTAACTTTTTATTAAACATCAAAGTTGATTTATCAAACAAACATTTAAAAACCAGTTTTGTCTTAGTTTTAATGTTACTGCAGAGGGTATTTTCCGTTGTACCTATTAGTGCCCCCATTAGAAGGTTTTATGTAACATATTTCTTTTCAACTGTATCTGTGGCAAAATACATAAGACGAAAAATAATCTATTATTTCTCCCTAAAAATCATTTTATTTCCTCTTTTTGTTATACTTTTCTTCTAACTCTGGCCACCACGAAGCTCAAAAGGCATTACCCAAATGTAATAACTACATTAGTCTTAAATTTAGCATAATTAATTCTCCAAAGGTTCTGATTGTTTGACTATTTCTAATGCTCTTTCTTAATGTCATATGTTTTAGCCACCTCAGGTCCATTTTAGAATGCATTGTGCATAAGCAAGCAAGGCCTTTCTAATGCTCGTTTAACAACAGTTCAGAACAAAGTGTCTGCAAATGTGTCAAATCTAGACCAGAAGCTGTTTTGTAAAGCCTCAACTTAATCTCTGCAACCTGCTATATAGTCTTTCATCCTTGGCTTTGGAAAAGTCATCAGTTTGCTAACTGCTTTAGGGATCATAAAACCACATTTGTTCCTAAACCGAGGAAAAGGGTCTAAGAAGAAGAAACTTATGCAAAAAACACAGGGTGAGAAAAAGCCCCTCAGAAGCCTTGCTGGCATAAATCCCAAGCTCATGTTACCAGAAATATTTACATTAAAAATATATCTCCAACTTGACCAACTGCTCTTAGGTCAAGCTCAAAATCCTGCTTGGGAGTTCTTTGGGTTTGTGACCATTTGTCAGCTCAAACTTTGGCTGTGATTTCTGTGCCTTCTGAGGCATGAAGGCAAATAGGGCAGAGGGACAGCTGAAAATAGCAGCCCTGATAGTGTGAGGTGAGAGTGAAGGGCTTCTAAGATTTTTCAGCAGGAAGTGTCTGATTGCAGTGTTAGTAGTCAAGAACTTTCCTTTCACATACTGACCTTTTTAGGTGCAAGAATATGCCCACCAAGAGGTGAGTGAGTCTTACCTTCTCTTCTGAGGCCTACTTCTGGTGATGAACTCATTTGGTCCCCTTTTCCCATCCACCTGGAACTCCCTAAGAGGTCTTGCCAGCTGTGGGAGTAAGAGAGGGAGCGATTTATGCAGTTTCCATTATAATTATAGACCTAGTTTTACTAGGTTGCTACTCAATCTTAAATATTTTCTCCTAAGCCTGACATTAGTGAACACCATTTAAGAAGGCATATAAAATATAATTTTATTATTAATATTGCTTTAAAAAACTATTATACATATCTATGTTTAAAGAAAAATTCAGTGAATAAACTATTCCTGTTTCAGTGTCTTTCAGTAATACCACCAGTTGAAGTAATTCTGTGAGAGACTGCATGCACATAGCACCAAAAAAAGATCAGGGTCACACAGAATTGGGGTTAGGGAGTGCCAGCACTATGCAACAATGTATAAACAAAACTCCAGCTCCCACTCATGTTCCTAGTATTAGTTCTGAGCATATTGTCCCAAACCATGCCTCATATTTTACTCAGTGCAATTGTCAGGCTTCTTAGTAGACTGCTAAGTAGACTCACCAGTGTTGGCCATCTCTTGCAATTTAGACCTCACAATAGGTATCAATCACCTTTTTATTTTGTAGTGCTGCATTCAGATCTGTTTTCCAGTTCATAGGTTCTCCCTTCAGCTGTGTCTATTCTGGGGTTTAATTTGTTCATGAAGGCTTTAAAAAAAAAGTCTTTATTTTCTCTATTCTTTTCTAGAAGCAGTATTTGGTTATTTTCTTTCTTTATATCATATTTTTATTACATTTTCTGCTATCTCATTTAATTTGTCAGATTTAACATAATTTTATTGTATAGACACTTACAGACTTTCATACTATCGTCAATCATTAGAGTTATTAAATATTTTGTGTGTGTGTGTGTGTGTGTGTTGGCTCATTGACTCATTGACTCTCTGTCATGGATTTTTAGCCTGACTTGGTTCTTCTTCCCCTCTAGGTAGCCCTATGAGTAAATTTTGGGTGGTAAGAAGAAGAGGAAAAGCAAAATATTTGCAGGCAACAGACAGCTCCGTTTCTGGGCTAACTGTCCCATGAAGAGCAATATTTTTTAAAAAATTTTTCTTGCATCACAATTCCTTCTGGTTAATTCATGAATGAATTGAACAGAAGATAGAATGTGGATGTGCAACTTCAGGATTAATTATCTACATGCTCTGGAGATCGTGGCACAAACAACAAATAAATAAAACAGTATCTAGAAGCTCTTTGGAGCAGATAGTCTCAAGTTAATTATTATTATTATTATTATTATTTATGAGGGAGGTCTCACTCTCTCACCCAGGCTGGAGTACAGTTGTGGGATCATAACTCACTCCAGCCTTGACGGACCACGGGCAGGCACCACAACACCCGACTAATTCGTTTTATTTTATTTTTTGTAGAGCTGGAGTCTTCCTACATTGCCCAGGCTGATCTCAAACTCATTGGCTCAAGCGATCCTCCTGTCTTGGCCTCCCAAAGTGCTAGGATTACAGGCACAAGACACCGCGCCCAGCCAAGTTAATTCTTTATAAACACAAATCATTACCTCATCCTTTTCTTTGGACCCATAAACTGTTCCCCCATGCATCCCTTAGGTGGCGCTCACCAAGCTACCGGTGTCTCTTCCTAGCATCCTTGCCAGGAGGGAGGCCCATGCCATTAATCAGGAAGTGAGGTATGTGCATTGTAGTTTCTGTTGGTCACTCAACTTCGTTTGCTCAGATTTCAAGTATGGTCTTGACTCATCCCACTCTTGAAGGTGCAGGAATAAATACTTTAGTCAGTTTGTTTGTTTGTTGTTGTTGTTGTTGTGCGTGTGTGTGTGTGTGTGTGTGTGTGTGTTTGAGACGGACTCTCGCTCTGTCTCCCAGGTTGGAGTGTGGTGGCGGGATCTCGGCTCACTGCAACTTCTGTCTCCCAGGCTAAGGGTTCAAGCAATTCTCCTGCCTCAGCATCCCGAGTAGCTAGGACTACAGGAGCGTTCTTTAGACAGTTTTCTTCTCTATATCTCGTCTTTGTATCTTGAAGACAGTGTGACCTCCAGAAACTCCCCTGTTCCCAAATATAAAGAAAGAAAGGCTTAAGAATGGTGGAAATAATTTCTCAAGGTCACACATGTAAGTAAGTAAGGAAAATAGAATGTGCACCCTAGTCTTGCTGGTTCCAGACTCTGTGTTTACATTCTGAGCAGTGCAAGGCACAGGGGAGTAGATACATAAGCCTACTGGATGAGAAGTCTTCCCAAAAATGAATAATAAAGGCAGATAGCTTTATGGTTTTTTTTTAACCATATCTTAAAAACTCATGTGAATTTTGTATTCTACTTCATAATGTTTTGTGTTACTTTTAAAATGAAACTCATATTGAGTTAAATTACCCTGTTTTTATTTTAATCCCTTTGTCTTTGTAGCATTTCTCTCCTTTTGTTGAGACCGTGGCTTGCTATCCATTAAGAACTCGTGCTTTTTCTCCATAATATAAAATTGTGGTTGGAATATAGCCACCCTAGCAAGAACTAGATTTCCCAGACCTCTTGCATCTAGGTGGGGTAATATGACTAAATTATACTCCACAGAATATGGGTAGAAGTAATGTATGCCATTTGCAGGCTTGAATTATAAAAACCCCCATTGGCCCTCCTCTTTCCACCGTCTTCATCTAACTCCTTGATGTAGATGCCCAAGCCAATCTCAAAAGTCATGCAGTAAAATGTTCTCACTTATTAGTGGGAGCCTAATGTTGAGAACACATGGACACATAGAGGGGAACAACACACACTGGGCCCTATTGGAGGGTGGAGGGTGGGAGGAGGGAGAGAATCCGGGAAAATAACTAACGGGTACTAGGCTTAATACCTGGGTGATCCTGGGTGATGAAATCATCTTAACAACAAACCCCATGACACAAGTTTACCTATATAATAAACCGGCCCATGTACTCCTGAACTCAAAAGTTACAGTAAAATCATGCAGTAAGGATGACTGAGCCTCCATCAGTTGAGTCCCTCTCATGAAACAGAATCTCCACCCTCACCATTGCTGCCAACTGGGCTTTACAAGAGCAGTATGTATATGTATACTGTGTTACAGCATTAAGATTTCACCATTCATGTCTTACAACAACTGGCTTTACTTTACTGCACCAGCCCCCACTTCCAACTTCTTGTCCTTAGTTCCAGCCTATCTTCAGGTCTGACCAGCCTTACCTCTGACTAAGCCCTTAGCTCTGCTCCAAGGGAAAAGAGTAGGGTAGCATTCCTGAATTAGTTTCCTATGACTGCTGTAACAAATTACCCCAAATTGGGTGTCTTAAAACAACAGAAATGTATTCCCTCATAGTTCTGGACGCCAGAGTTCGAGATCAGTTTCACTGGGACAAAATTAAGGTGTTAGCAGGAACACACTGTCCCTGGAGGCTCAGGGGAGAATTCCTTCCCTGCCCCTTCCAGCTTCTGGTGGCTGCATCGCTTAAATTTCTGCCTCCTTCACATTGTCTTCATTGCTGAGTTTATCAAATGTCCTCTTTCTCTCTCTTATAAAGACATTTATGCTTCAATTTAGGAACCACCTGGATAAAACAGGATATTCTTCCCAAGTCAAGATACTTAGTCACATATGCAAAGATCCTTTTCCCTAATAAGGGAACACTTAAGGTTGTAAGGATTGGAAACTGATGCCTGTTGGGGCCTGTTGTTCAGCCTACTACACTACCCCAAGTAAGTTGAGTTTAAGATCAGAGCCAAGGACGATGCATAAAGAAAGAGCTCTTGAAGTCAGGAGGATGATGAATCAGAGGATACTGAAATCTTTCACTAACTTCTTTAGTAAAGACAAGAAAACATACGTTACACACACATAGTGAGGAGAGAAGTTTGGAAGCTCCAAATAGAGACTCAGACCAAGCAGAGACCCTCACAGTTACCTGGCCTGCAAACAGTAGTCCTGAAAAACCTCTTGCTGCAGGAGGCTGCAGACTCACCTCTATTTCCTGTCATTTACTCGATTAACACACAGTGTTCCAAACCTACTGTAAATCCAACACTCTTCTCTGCACTAGGATATTTCAATGGAAAAGATGCAAGCAGAAGTCCCTGTCCTTTTGGTACTTGCATTCCAGGCGGGAGAGACAGTAAACGATACATTTAATTAGTAGCTAAATCATGTGTAAATAAAAACATTCCTTGTGTCCAGTTTCCAAGCTCCTGGCATCTCTCCTATTCCCTTGACTCCCCGAAGATTAAAAATAGAAACCAATAAATCACATCTGAGGGTTCTCTCTTCACTCGTTTTGCATTTGGCCTGTGTTTAAAGAAGCTGTTTTTTCTCCTACCAATATTTTCAATTTCTTTTTATTTGGGGCAGCGTTTCTCTGTTTTTTTGGTTTTTTTAAAGCACATAGTAGGTTATTTTATAACTTTCTATTGATTTTTAGGTTAGAGAAAACTGTCTTAGGGCAAAAATGTATTTTGCACCAGACAGCTCCAACTGCACAGCGTTATACTTCAGTATTTATGTTTTTGTTCATCTTTCTTTTCATCATCACATTCTCTTGGCCCTCTCTCCCCATTTCTCCCATATAAGTTCATATGGGGCTGTACAGACAGCAAGAGACAGACACAAGCTGTCACTGCCCCATGGACACGCTGGCTACTCTTGTCTGCCCTGCTCTCAACACAACCTGATGAAAAGATGTCTCTGCAGACAAGCGTTTAACCTCCTCACCTCTCCCCTTCGCCCTCTGTCTTGTCCGAACAGCAGTGGGGGAAGGTGGGAGTGAGAGAAGAGATTAAATCAGGTGGTTGAAAGCTAATACCATCTCCCAGCAACTCTCAAAGTCAACCCAGGAATTTAAACTGTAATATTATCCCACAGGAAAAAGAAGCATGAAAATGAGAAAGTCAGTGTCTTCCTGGGCTTAGGGTTGGGGTGCTCAGACAAGGCTGGTGACAGGGGTGGGACAACCTGGCCTTAGCTGGGGTGAAATTGGGAGAGGACAGAAAAGTGGGATTTCCACAGACATTTATGTAGGAGCAATCCAAATCGTGCCTGCCAAGCCTCCAGGGCTCCGGGGGACATCCAGAAACTCCAAACAAGTGCATGGAAAAGATATGCTTTGTTTTCTTTTTGCCCCCGCTGAGAAATGCTGCCCATCGTGTTTCCATGGGAGACTTTTGTGGCTAATTTTGAAAAATGAAGTGAACAGGTAAACTGGAGCTAATGGCCTCAACCTCGGGGCAGACATCTGGGGCGATGTTGACTTTGTTGCCGGAGAGCCAGCTGGCCTTTGCACTCCGCTCCCCCTTCCAGGCCCGCTCCCTGCAGGCCTCCAGGGGGGCTTCAGCTTCTAATGAACCAACTGCACAGTCCCTGATGCTATGGCTGCTGCTGCCCAGACTCTTGCTGAAGCTCCATAAATGTTTGTTTTATGAATAAGCACGCGCGTGGCACTCCTCGAAGATAATTCTCCTTTATCCTGAGAGGCAACAGTTTCCCAACTGCCCTTCCTTTGCCAGGGGGAAAGAGTACCACCATATATACTCACAGATCCAGGAAGAGACCAGGACTGGAGACCAAAAACATTCCTCATGAGTTTTTTCTAATGACCAAAGTGATGGGAATGAAAGTAACCTCCTATATGCTGGACACTGCTCTGCTGAGGTGCTTAGCACATATCCTTACAACAATCGTGGGACACAGTATGTTTTCCATTGATAGATAAGAATAGTGGAGGCTAGTACATGTAACAGACCTAAAACCACAAAGTCATCTAGTGCTAGATGTAAAGTTAGATGTAAACGTGATTCTAATTATTTAGTGCAATGCTTAAGAGCGTTGCTCAGAAGGCTGAATTCCTGGATTCAGTTCAGATTTGCCAATGGCTTGCATTGTAACCACAAGAAAGTTAATTTACCTCTCTGGACCTCATTTCCCTTATGTACTAAACAAGAAGAGTAATGGTTCCTGCCTCTTGGATATTATAAAGACACATGAGATAATGGCTATAGAAGATTTTAAAAGTATCCCACGCAAGTAAGTGCTCAAAAGCTATTTGCTATCGATATTACAATGTCAGTGATCCTTCCACACAACTGCGGATTGTTCCTCAAGAGTAGAGAGATGCCCAATTTCTAATAAATACTAGAGAACACTAAGGTATATGTGGAGGTCTCAGCTGGGCTGTTGTCTGATTTAGATGATCACCTTTGGGTGGAACAAAGGGGCCTTCTCTATTCAAAAGTTGCCAGCACTGAGTGTAAGAGGATGAGGTGAGAAGAACTTGCCATTTCTGGGCTGAGAACTGAGGTCTGGCTTCCCCACATTACCCTGGTGTTGATGACTTATCGCTCTTTGGCACCAGAAGGTCAGGTAAGCACCATCCCTATCAATGACTGGGATTCCCAAAGACATTCTGGAGTGGAATTCCACTCCAGTATCCTTTGCCCTTGTCTGATTCCATAGACAAAAAAGAGAAAAAGAAGGTTGCCAGGTCCTTCTTCCTGCTAAATGGCCCCATCTTTGAGCCATTTATTTCTTTATTCATTCAACAAAGTTTTCAACGTTTATAATGTACCAGCCATAGGGTTAAATGCAGCACAAATAACAAAGAGAAAAATAAAGACACGCACAATTGCACATGGGTAAGTTCACTGCAGGAAGAGTGCTCAGCCCCTTTGTAGGCTTCACTGTGGATCAGAAGTGTGGATGTCTGCACAAAAACACACCACAAGCAAAGAACAGGGAGCCTTCTGTTGATGCGGATGTCACTAATCATTTTATATTACCCACATGGAGAACTCTTATGCCTGTTTTTACTCTTCTGCTCCCTGCCCGTGAGCTTCCAAATTTTGCCATCTCAACACTCCACTGTTCTGCTTCCTTCACACAATTGTATTCCCCTGACTTCATGTCTGAGCTTACAGGGACTGTCAGGCAGGCCTCCAAGTTAGCCCTCATACTTTCACAAAGAGCAAGTCTGCATTTTCTTCATCCAGAACATCAAACAGAGTGTCTCCCCTGGGCCCCTGATATCCTTGTTACCACCTCGTTAATGACTGTATGAGGGGAAGTTTTATGAGGTATCAGGGCAGAAGTAAACAGATATGGGAGGATGGATGTCTTCTTGCCTGCATCATCATGGGGTAAAAGCAGTACTGACCCTCTTTTGTATCCTCCCAAGCCATCAGCATGAACTTCCTGGGCTTTTACCTTGTGCTACCATTTGCTCATGAGTCTGGGGAGATATAAGAAGGCAGTTTGCTGGAGGAGTTTGGTGGCTCAACCTCAAAGCCCGCTGGAAATTCATGTGAGGATAGAGTGTCAATCCTTCCTGCTGTCATGGTGGCTGCAGTGGAGGGTCACAGTATTACAGTGTCCAGAATAGCAAAGGCATGGCTTCCTCAGTTTCCAGGTAGTATTACCTGGTAGCTGTAGACAGAGTGCCCACCACAAAGTGGATGCTCAATAAATATTAGTTGAATGAGTGATTCAATAAATCAATGAATGAGCGAGTGATGGGAGGGGTGTGGAAGTTTCTGTTCCCCTATGATGATGACAAGTCAGTACAGTCTCAAAATCGGGGTTAGGGTGGACAAGAGCCTGACTCTGGAGGTGACCCAAGTTAAACTGAGGTCAGTTTGTTTTGCAATGGGAACAGAGCTTCAGGGCAGGTTTCTAACAATTTCATAAAAACTGAGTCATATAAGTCCAGGCATCAGTACTAAGCACAAAAAACTGGGGTGATAAAACAGATAATAATGGAAAAAGTATATTAAGCTTCTACTATATGTCGAGAATTTTCCAAATGCTTTACATTTACTCTTCATAAGCAAACACTATTACATACATATTATTTTTATTTCAAATGTGTGAAAAACTGAAAAGGAAGAGGAAGTTTAAAAAAACCCTTCCACACTTCCAGTGCTGAAGTTCAAATCCAAGTAGCCTTATTTCAGAGACTGCATTCTGAAGACAATAACAGGGGCAGGGAAAAAATTCATGTGGGCAAGTGAGTGTCTACGGCTGCCCCTAGACAAAAAAGCAAGACCATGTCCAAACTCCACCCCTAGGGGGAGCTAGACCAGAGCTAAAGGGTTGACTCAGGGACTGGACAGAGGTGTGATTGCACATAGCCATCTGACTCCAGGGATGGGCATGGAACAAGCTGTGTCAGGCTGCAACTGTGGACAATGGTGGGAAATGATGCTCCTGACCTTCATTTTCCTTTCCCTCAGTCTCTAAATCACCCTCCTATGTACTCACGGAGCTTCGGATCTCAGCTTCATGCAGGTGGATCCCCGATATACATTTCCATTTTTAATTTATCCTCCAAGTTTCTGTTGCACATTCCCAAGTTCTTTCTAATTATCTGCCCTCCTATTTCCTGTCAGCTGCTCAAGCTTGACTCAAAGTTCAAATCTGGACTCATCTTTCCACACAGTTCAAACAGTCTACTTTCCCCATTCATTTTGACTGTCCTTGACACTACCATTCTCTCACTTTCTAGAGAACCAAAGCTCAGAGTCTCAAGATTCATCTATTTCTCTTTGCACAGTAAGAAATCATTGATGAAACCCTGTTAATTTTCCTCTTTTAACTTAAGAAATATTATTACTAAAAGTTCTGTTAATTTTCTACCTCTACAGCTGCTCTTTCATCTGCATCTCCATTCCTCTGTCCACGCATGAGTTCAGTTTTTTCTTGTTTGAAATAGTGCATGGATTCTGGGTTTATTCTTGCCTCCAGTTTCTTTCTCCTTGGTTCCATCTTCTACCTGCTGCCAAACCAATCTCTCTAAGTACTTTTCTGAATATGTCACTCCCCCGAGAAGCAAGCTTCAAGGGCTCTCCATTGCCTGCCAAATACTGTCTAGATTCCTTGTCATGGCTTTTCACATCCACTTAGATCTGGTCTCAACTCAGTGCACATTTATTGAGTCCTACTTAGTGCCAGACCTTGCACTAAGTGTTGTAAATGTAAAAATAAACCCTGCATACTTCCGGCCCTTGGAAAAGAAAAGGAAGAAAAGCTGGTCCCACAATCTCTAGCCAGTGCTTCCCCTGAATCCTGCCCCCTGCTGAAGGTGTAAAGTTGGATTTTTGCTGTTCTTCAAAATTTCCTCAGCACTTTCTTGCTTTTGTGTCCAGGAACTTCCTCACTTCAATCTCCAAGTAACCCCTAACCCTCTTCTGCTGTAATAATTTTTCCTTCATGAAGAATCCATGAAGCAGACACATTTGGAAGAGGAATGCTTCTTGGCAGTCACCTTTACACATCTTTTGATGATGGATCATGATCCATGTGCATTATAGCTTTGTGTCTACCTGTTATCTCTCCTACACTGACATTCTCATAACTGATATATGACAGAATGCTATTGCATACAGTGTTAATTTATGCATATTATTTTAAAAATACATGATGTTTGGTTACATTACATTCAACAAAATTTAATAGTGTTCTCTCCTGAATGCTTTCTTACAGACTACCAATTGCATATTATGCATTAATAATATCCAAGAAAACAGTGGAGTATATATTTTCAAAACACTTGAAATATAAGATATTTTCTTTGCACTTATTTATTTGCTTGTTAGAAGATCGGTTCACAGACTGGACATGGTGGCTCACTCCTACAATCCCATTTGGGAGGCCTATGTGGATCGCTTGAGGCCAGGAGTGCGAGACCAGCCTGGGCAACACAGTAAGAACCTGTCTCCACATACAAAAAATAAATAAATAAATTAGCTGGACTGGATGTGGTGGTGTTTGCCTGTAGTCTCAGGAGGCTGAGGAGGGAGGATTGCTTAAGCCCCAAGAGTTTGAGGCTGCAGTGAGCTCTAATCATGCCACTACACTCCAGGTTGGGTGACAAAGTGAGATCTTGTCTCAAAACAACAACAAAAACAAACAAACAAACAAAAACCCAAACATCAATTCATGTCCATCGTCTGGTATTAGTGTTCTACAGAACATAGTTTAGGAAACGCTGTCCTAGAAAGTAAGATCACTGAGTAATAATGTTAATGGTAATACTTTTTTTAAAAAGGTTTTTATTGGTTTTATTTTTAATATTTGCTCCATGGTAGCCACTGTAGCAAGTGTTTTTATATCCAGGTTTTTATCTAACTTTCACAACAATCTGATGTATGGATGCTAATTCTAACCCATTTTTCAGATTAAGAAACAGAAACTCAGAGCAGTTAAGTAACTTCCCCAAAGTCATTATCAATAGGGAGGTAGTAAAATTGCAACAGGAGCACAGCCTATCTAACCCCAGAGCCTGTGCTCTTTGAAGGAGAGTCTGTTTTTAAAACTTCTGTATTCCCTGTTCCTCCAAAATTCGTAACAGCCCATGATTCTTGAACGCACTGGTGATTTCAGTTTTGCAGTCTGATTTTGTATTTGTGCTTTGATGCTTTACAGCACAGACAGTAGAAAGAATACTGGTACCCTGCTCCTAGGCTCAGGAGACCTAAGTTTATGACCCCAAATCTGCCTTTAATTAACCATGTGTCATTAGGCAAAGAATTTCTCCCCTTGGGGCTCAGTTTCCTCAGCTGTAAAATAAAGTGAGGTTGGACTCACTGGTATTTCAGGTCCTTTAACCTCTTTCTACCATACTCTTCTCTTTGCCAAGTTTCTGTGATTAATAGAATTAGATGAGCCCTTTGTTACCCATTGTATCTGCCACTGAGAGAGCTGGAACCATCCTTCAAAGGAATCCACGACATGGCCAATTCATTGTGCTGACTCTGAGGCCACTTCAGTGACCCACAGTCACTGGCAGCATGAGGAGCAGAAGCACTTGCCTTTTACCAAATATGTTTTTCCATTATAGTGAATTTTTCTTAAAATTATAGAACATCAAATAAATTTCAAAATTTCACTGGAACAATGTAAGTATAAATGAGTAAAAAAAACCCAGATGGAATATATTTCCCTTGTAATATATATGTGATTAAAAAATGAAAAGAAAAATGTTTGTAGCAAATATGTTTTGGATTTACAGAACTCAAAGCTCTTGTGGAATAGTTTGAGACTTCCAAAGCACCAATATGCAGCTGCTTTGGCCACCCTTCTATGAACAATCAAACCCCCAGTTGTCTTGGAAACCTGCCTGCATCCTAGGATGTATTCTCCATTGAGCAGCTAAAATGGCTTGAAGTCTTCCAGGGAAACGTGTTTCCTGGGGAGCCTTCACCCCTTGGGAGCCTTCACAAAAACAAGATATCTATCTCCTGACCCCAGAGCTATAAGTGGCATGGCTTAAAGAAACAAAACAACAATAGGAGCTAATGTTAGTTTGGGGGTTTTCCTAAGGTGAAGCACAAAATTTCAGAGATGGAAAATTTAGTCTGCAAAAATGGTTCCCATTTAATTATTCCTACCCCAAGAATGGAGAACTAAGGGTTAGTTTACACAAACATAAAGATTAAAAGAGGGAAAGAGAACCATAAAAAGAAACCTGAAGATTCCCTTGTTAATTAAAATACTCTGAGAGGAGAATTCACAAGACTTGGATTTTGATATGAGTTCTGCCCTAGTTATGATAGTGCTAATGCTATCATTTTAATTATGGTAGCTAGCATTTATTAAGCATTTATATGCTAAATCCTTAAATGCATCATCTTATTTATCTCTTTAACATCTGTAGCAGATACTGTTGGTGTCTGGCCCTGTCCCCCCTCAGCTTACCCCAGAGGTCACCTAACAAGAGTCCCCATAGATGTCGAAGGAAATTGTGTCTCTCTGCCATAGAATGTCCTCTGGCCACAGGAGAACTGTGGCCCACTGCACTGGACACCCAGAAACCTGAAGGTGTTGACACTACCAAGAGTAACCTTATAATAATTCAGGATAAAAGTTGGTGATGTTGATGAATGATATTCCAACTTCTTTGCCCCACAGCAGGCCAGTTCTGAGGTATGTTCTGCACAGGCTCTTAGGAGTCCCCAAAGGAATTGAGGCCCATCTTCCTGTAGCGATAACACACTAGTTAATACCATTTTTATTGCCTCTCTTCCTTTCCCAGACTCATGTCTCCACCCCATCACTGTACCTTCTGGGGTCACAACTCAGATAAACTACTTATACTAAAATTCCTATCTCAAACTCGGACTTTGGGGGATACTGAACTAACACATCAGTTTTACAGGAGAGTGACGTGAGGGAGGTTAAACAGCATGTTCCAAGAGCACTCAGCTATCCAGTGAAAAACCACCCATGAGACTTTCCATAGGAAGAAGCCTAGAAGGGTTTGTCATACGGATCTGGGTGCCACCAAACCCGGAGATTCAGAAAGCAAAGAGCAGGCACTGATCTAATTTGGTTGATTATACCCCCAAGTATATGTGCCATTAAGGTGTCTTAGAGAATAGCCTCAGGGCCTTTGCAAATGCCTTAGCAGAGTCGGGGTTTGGTAAATGTCACATTCAAGAGCCATACTTCTGGTTTCTTTAAAAGAAAATGAAGCCTAATATTGTCATTGCTTTTAAAATAGCATTTATATTGTAAATATAAAAGCCACATAGGCAATCTTATAAAATATGAAACTATTAAGAAGTATATACCCATAATCTCTCTACACAAAGAGAAGCACGGGCAATTAATGTTTTGTGAGTGAATTTCTTTATCTATAAAATGGGTATAGTAAAAGAACAATACTTCATTGAGTTGTTGTGAGAAATAGATTACCTAATGCTTATATTTGCTTAGAACAGTACCTGACACAGAATAACTGTTTAATAAAGATTAGCTATTGTTATAATTTTCAAAATATTCCATTTCCTGTGCTAATTACATGACATCTAATTTTGTTTTCAAACACATAAAAGAAATCCATATGAGGTGTTTATCAGTTTACCTGTGTCTCAACTGAACCAAGTGAATAATCTCAGAATGCCCTGTCTTCATATTTTACAACAAAAATATTGCAAAGCTGGGATTTAAACTCACATTTTCCCTGCTATGATTTTTTTTTCCTGAAACACACCATGTGTGTAATAACATGAAAAGGTTCTTGAACCTTTGTTATTTTGATATATTTGTTATCCTTGTTCTTTTTTCATCATTTCTCTCTAGTTAATAATTAGTAGTAAAACCACTAAAACAAAAATGACCAATATCTTCTCTTTCTTGACAACAAAGCACAGGAGAACAGAAAATCCTGTTCCGGGTCACTTCCTTCTGTGCCGCAGGGAACTTGCTCTAATGATTATCCATTCTCTCATTTGCTTCTTCAATTTATCTTTCATGGCACCATACCCTTAGCCTCTAAATATAGTCAAGACTATCCTATTCTAAGGAAAAAATTTTCTTTTAAATTTGATACCACATATATTAGTTGGAGTATGCTATCTAATTTCCCAAACAACTCCAAAATCTTAGTGATTTTATAAACAACAGTTTGGTTCTTGCTTACATCAGAGTACAGTGTGGGTCTGTGCAGAGGGTCTCTGCTCCATAAAGTCATTCAGGGATCCTTGCTCATTTC